ATGTGATCTTCCACGATAAAAAAGATAACTCACATAACTTTTACACCTCTGCCTGTGTTTTCTAGTTGTTATAACTGCACCATAAAGCGAACTACCTGCAATAATTAGTGAAAATAAGAGATCAATAGCCGGTAGAGATCAATGTCAGCTATCCATATTATATTTCAGAATTGAGAGTTCCAGCTCTTCTACAATTCAGTTTTTAAAAGTCAAAATATTGGTGTTACTTTTTAGCAAGTCCGTTCCAAAAGAAAAGTTTACAAAACTCACCAATGATCAAGATGTTGAATACAATGTTGTGTTTCATTCAAATCGTTTTATTATTAAACTGATAACATCCAATATCTGAAATAGAAAATGTAAAAAATACTAAATTCAAAAGAAATAAGGGATATTTCCCTACCAAATAATAATATAACTGCATACCTTTAAGTAGGTATATAGATATAATAGGCTATGAATAGGGTTTTAAGTCGTATTTTCATGTACTTGATTTGGTTAACGAAGACGGCATTCAGTGAACAATGCAATTTTCGAGGATTGAGGCATTAGCTCAGTCAATTTCTATCTGTCGAGTGGTCCACAAATAGCACAAACTGTGTCGCATGGGACCTCCCCTTATAAGGTGGCACGAATAAAGTAGGGGTCAATTACCAATCTTGGAGGGCAAGGTAGTTTGTTCTCTAATAATGACGACTCACCATTTAACAATTTGCAGGATCACAATTTGATATCTACAAGCCAACATTTTATCTTACTGTTAAGAACATTTCATATCTGTAATAAATCATTCAATCAGATTAAAATTCAAAAACATGGATGTTCCGTGCCATTTTTCTGCAAGTGATCCACTTGTTATTCATGATCTGACGAATTTCTTATTCATGTCCTGTTCAGGGCAATTTAGTTTTCAACCAATACTAATATACAGTAAGTAATGTCTGTATCAAATATTTTGTACAATATAAGATTTCCTTGCTCTTTGTGAGTAGTTGGGTATCTATTGTTTTAAATGGACTCGTACTTGTAGTGTCTTACCCTTTTTAAAAGAGTTTTTGATTGGTTAGCATTAATTATGACAACTGTGGATGGTAGTTGATTCTTAACAAATCACCAAATGTAGATGACATTTGCTGAAACATGGTTAGTGGATTCACCTGCAAAAAAAAAGAGAAGATCTGCATTTTAATCATATCAAAAGTTTTTCAAATCACTTACATCAGACTCTGATATATAAGAATAAAGGGACTACATCCCTTCGGTAAAAAAAAGGCCCCCTTCCAACAAAAATCCACAAGATTATTCCTTACTTATTAAAGATGGGTTCCCATCCCATCTAAATGCTAATACTCATATAAATAGAAAGTAGAGGTGTTCTAATGACTTGGAAATATACCAGTTTGTCTCACATGTCCATAATTAACTTAATAAGAAGAAAATTACAAGCAGAAATTCAATGAGTGCGCTATCAAGAAAAGTCAAAAAGTCTTTTTTTGTTTATCCAGACTCTACATAGATGGGCATTTATGATTGGTTAAACCTCGTAATTACAATGTATATGCAATAAGAACATAATGATATGATTAAGAATACATGATAATCCATTAGAAACACTAATTAATCAAATAGTTTGCTTAATTTAACACTAAAAATTATGCCTAGGCCTAACAGTTAAATAATTCAAGTCGTTTTCAGATGTAAGAAAGTTAATTATAAAAAAAACTCACCATATATAAAAGGTCTATTTGCCAAAACCGATTTAACTCTGAATATCAATAATTTTTCTAATCTGCTGTAACAGTAAAAAGAGTTACATTTATATAATAAAAATATTTTCTTGTTATTTGTCCTACTTTAATCATGCAAATTTTCACAATCATAAATATCATCTAATAGGCTAACAATCCCCACCCCCTAATTCTAAACCAGTCTACCCTCATCCCTACCTTAAAATCTTATTCTAAACTAACAATTATAGAACACCATTACTTTACTACCCCCACCCCCTAATTCTAAACCATTCTACCCTCATCCCTACCTTAATATCTTATTCTAAACTAACAATTATAGAACACCATCACTTTAATACCCCCACCCCCTAATTGTAAACCAGTCTACTCTCATCCCTGCCTTAATATCTTATTCTAAACTAACAATTATAGAACACCATCACTTTAATACCACCACTCCCTAATTCTAAACCAGTCTACTCATCCCTACCTTAATATCTTATTCTAAACTAACAATTATAGGACACCATCACTTTAATACCCCCACTCCCCAATTCTAAACCAGTCTACTCTCATCCCTACCTTAATATCTTATTCTAAACTAACAATTATAGGACACCATCACTTTAATACCACCACCCCCTAATTATAAACCAGTCTACTCTCATCCCTACCTTAATATCTTATTCTAAACTAACAATTATAGAACACCATCACTTTAATACCCCCACCTCATAATTCTAAACTAGTCTACTATCATCCCTACCAATTGTACACCAGGCTACCCTCATCCAACTTTATATTTTATTCCAAACTATTTTAGGACACTCCCTTCCCTAATTAGACATATACATAGGCAATATATGCGATGGAATAAATCCAGCACCGTTAAAGATCCTTTGACAGTTGGATGCCGAATAATAGTAGCCTTAAGCCTGTGCTTAAAGAACATGGAAGCTGGAAAAATTGCCCCCATTGAAAACTGCATGGAGCTGCCCCTGTTTATAAGCCAAATCATATTAAAACATACTGGTACATTGACTGCATCCCATTCACGGTTATCATATTTCAGAAATAATTTAAAGGGATTGTGAAGTGGTTTTTAAAAACGTTCTATGTGTATCACATTTAACACTAATAGCCTCCATTTGAACCATTCCAATACAAATGACTTATATATAGGCTACCGTTGCTGTTTCGCCTTGGCAGGGATATATGATAAAATTATATAGGGTATCTGCGATAGTGACGTCACCAAAAACTTAGTTTGAGTGGAGTTGCATGAACCACAGCCGTGAATGAAAATTGGAATGGTGCAAATTAATGCTATCAGTCCAATCAAAACTTTGAATGAAGAAAATGGCTTACCTTCATCCAATATCCAATATTTGCCACTCCTTCCAAAAGTGTGATTTGTCATCGTTAAATCCTTTATTTTATAGAAATATCACAAAATAATCCAAAACTATGCAGAATAAATCCCAAATCATAGATATAAGTCACATATATTTCACTTAATATTCGAAATAATCCAAAACCATCCAGAATAATACAGAATATATCAATTACATCAGAATAAGTCAAACAGATATTGTATTAATAAGATCGAAATCCCACTAAGAAATGCAAATTCTTCCAATGGTACCCGAAAACGATAATTCTGCGTTCAACTCCTCCCATTTTTTGACTGACATTTTGAATATCAGCCAATCAGCAGCCAAAATTCTACATCCACGTGCTCTGCGTGTCAACTTTTCCCGCCAAAAATTGTTTTGAGTTTCTGATGGTTTTAAACTGTCACCTTCTCATCAATTATTTGAAAGTTGATAAATTATTAAAGGAAAAGATCCACCAACATTTCAGAATGGCTGGTTGAAAGAATTTTGAATAGAGATGCTGGACTTAAATTACCTTTGTAAAGTCTAAAGTCTGTTCAAAAAATCTTTTGATCATCGAATAAAGTATATTTCGTAATGTTAACTAAGAAAAAAATTGCCAAACCTACATGTTTGAGAAGTACATTAGACGGAAGGGCACCTTTAATTCTGAACTGAACAAATAACCTGATTGCGAAATTCGCGCCAAATATTACACATTGTTTAAAGGGATATATTGTAACTGTTAAGGCCTTTTCCGACTTACACCGAAAAGAAAACGAATCAGTACCGAAAAATTAAAATTGCTTATAATGCTCACCATCTTTTCAACATATAACGAAACCATTATCGTTTCCACAGTAATTTAGACAGTGTCGTAACTAGACTTTTTCATTGAGGGAGGGTGGGAAGGGGGCAAGAAGGGGTAATGACTTGAATTGGGGGGCTCCGACAAGCCGAGATTTTTTTAAATTTTAAGGCTGAATTCGCGCGATTGGGTGTGTACTTTTTTGGAAACCACTTCATAGATTAGGGTCGCTTGACGATGAAATTAGACTTAATAATACTTGTATCAATATTGTATCCTATCCTAAACATGATAATGGTAACTCACTTATAATATACTGTGATATGTTTATTGTTTATATAGACCTACAGCAAAATGAAAAACACAATATAAGTTTTAACTTCATATCTGTATTGTGGGTTTAGGGGACGTTTGGACGTCCAACAGTCTCCCAAATTGATCTGGTGCCAACAGATGGATGCGATTTTTTTGGAGAAGAGTTATTTCTTTAGATCAAAATCAATATGACCTTCATCCAGGATTACATTGATGATGATGATGTAGATCACATGTACCTCAAATTCAACCAAATCCAACCTCTTTTCAAGCAAACATAGTCCGAAAAGTAAAAGTCCAGTAAACCCACTTTTAAAATGAACAACATTAGTTCTTTTAAAAGTGCTTTATCCTCAATTTATTGTGCTGCTCTGAGAACTCGTCAATGAAATCGTCCAGATTTATGAACGCAGTGAGTTCTCGCCTAGTTACATTAATTTGTAATTACGTATCACATTTTGCAGTCATTTTCTTTTCTTAAGTTTTCATGATGCTTTTGCTAGCAGGAGAAGTACCCAACTTAACTACGACAGTGTGATCCAGGCTTCTATTTCCCCATTGTATTGTGTATAGTGTATATCGTTTGATGTTGTGTATTATCTAGGGAAAACGTTTCAAAGGTTTTCAGTCGCATGCTTTGACCAACATTTTATATCTCTTTGATTTACATTCGTACTTTGTTTTGCTTCGATATTTTTTTAATGCATATCTTCGTTTCATAAAAGCTATACTGTAAAATCCAACATTTGACAGTTGCCCAAAACGGAAGTAGCCTAATGGATAGTGTACATTAGCAACATGAATAGAATTTTGATTTGATCGACAAACTATTTGAACCTGGTTAACTCTTATCATATTTTCAGGTAATTATTTGATGTTCTGTTTGAATATGGCTATACAAACCTAATCCTCGTGAATCTTATGTTAGGGTATCTCTCTAGTATAATAAAGATTGTAGAGCTGTAAGGGCTACGAGGCCGAGGGTACGTTTGTTGTGTTAAATGTTGACCTACTTTTTATTATAGAGAGATCCCATAGCACATTTTATTTAAAACATAAATGTAAAAAAACATAAATCTAGAAGTCAGGAAAAAGACAGCATACACCTGAAAAATTGAAATTTAAAATCGATTTTGGAAACATGTGAATTGTTTAGTTTTACAGGAAGGTGTAGGTTTTTATTAAAAGGTAACAGTAACTAACAGAGTAGGCTTACTAACCAACAGAGAGCACTGGCACAGGATTCAAACACTACTTATCTAGGTGGAATGGAAATTTGTTGTTCCAGCTGGCTTAAAGAGTTTACACACTTTTGTCAACTGTATTTCATGGTTTGGGTGCAGCCACCCTTAAAAAAGTCTTTTACAAGAGAAATGACGTCATCGTTACTGAAAGTTGGCGACTGGCTAATTCCTTTCTCATTTTAAGAAACAAAATCTTAGGCACCTATCTTGAGATATGGTGAACGCCAATTTTGCCACATCAGCGCATGCCAAATGGCGCAACAGAATTCTTAAAAATAGAACACCCATTCATGATAATGCAGGGATTCATTGTACAATTGCACATTCTGCTTCTTTTAATCATTGTGTGAGGTAAGCATCACTACTTACCTAGAGTTATTCAAAGCACCAAAACAAATAAGCTTGTGGGGGGTGTGGGCAGGGGCATCGGTAGGGTAAGGTTACTCTGCGCTTTAGCAGTTCCAAACAATGAAAGTGGCACTTCAGCTTATTAACTTGAGAAAACCTTACTTAGACTTGGAATTTTCAGCAAATCTTCGCACAAATCTAGATTATCCACCAGATAATTTTTCTGAAAATTAACTCTTTTTCCTGAGAGTACAAATGAATGATTTATAACAAAACTTAAAATACTAATTACCCTTTAAGAAGGTAAAACAAATTACAAAATGTAACTTTTGACGTTCATGAAAATATCCAATGATCCAAAACTGCACTGAAATAATTAGTAATCAATAATAATAAACACAGAACATATGATAAAATCTAATTTATTGAATCAATTCTGGCTTGAAAATGGAAGCTGATCAAGGTTTTCCAATTTTTTGAGTAATCTATAGGAGCAAGTAAGGCCAGACCAATTTTCTTTCTTGTTTGACTGATTTTTTCTGAAAAAAACCCCAAAAATTTGTGTGAAGGACAGAAGAGAAAAAAAAACATACAAAAGCAGGACTGACCTAGATTTTTTCTACTTTCTCAGTACTGGTATTGATTTGATCAATAATTAGATATATTATTAATAATTTCAGTTTCTGTTGGGTGTAAAACTTTTTTTTTTCTAGGATGAGTGAAGATTATAGTGGATGATATTAGTCGGAGCGTTAAATTGATGGGTTGATTAAACGTCAATCTGAAAACCATTCTAGTCTACGCACCTTGGTCAGCCATGTTTAAAAATGGACCGAAGGATTACCGTCATTTAAATTTGAAGGAATTTGGTGGACATAAGGATGAGGTTTGTTATCTATTTTTTGTTTTATGGAAAATTTGTCCACTTATTTCAACTGAACAAAGCTCTATGTCTTACAGGCTGTGCACAAGTTGAAAATCGAAAAAGAGTAGCTAAAGATCTTGCCCCATTTTTCTTTGGCCAATAAGTTCTAAAGTGAGGAGTAAATCTGCATTTGTGCATAACTTTGACACTAGTTTCTAGCTAGGAAAGGTCTGCATGATTATTTCACCATTATTAAGTTATATTGCAGAATTTCGTCATTTAAAGTTTATAGTTTTTGAAACAACCCTAAGTACATAATTTGTCATGAACATGGTTCAGTTATATAATAGTTTTCATTGCTAACTAACCTTAGCAGGATGTAAAACTCTATCTTTTTCTCTGCAGGTGAATTGTGTTGCATTTTCTGAAGATTTTCAGATTATTGTAACAGGTTCTGATGATGAGAGAGTGCGGGTCTTTAAAGCTCGAACTGGTGAATTTCTTTGCAAACTTCGTGGACATACAGGTTGGTTGTTTATGTTTTGATATATAATGCGACAATTTAGATTAACATATGTAAGTTTATTTTATCTGAATTCAATATGCTTAATTATTTTCTTGGACGTGCATGTGAAAATTGTTGAGCTAAAGATGCATTTTTTTTTTAGAAAGAATTGGCATGTATGGATAACAGTGTTCAATTTAAGACGTATCGCATCAAAAGACCTCTTTTGCAATCTTATATTTCCTATGATTAGCCAACATGAAAATTTTTCACAACGATCTGCAAATCAAACTGTATGTTTGAATGTTTACTAGAATATTCCAAATTTTTAAGAAATGCAAATCAAAATAAAACTTGATCAACCAAAACTAAAATTTGGTGTGGTAAATTGCTTAATGCTTATCAAATTTTGCAATCTAATTTAAACCCTGCATTGACCAAAGGTATTTCATGGTCATTATCTGCTTGCAGGTTGGATATATTGTCTTGTATCATTGGTTTCAGTTACCATTATGAATGTGTTGGATTTTTTCAGGTTCAGTAAAAACAGTAGCTATCTCAGCTGATAGTAAATTGATAGCTAGTGGTTCGTTTGATAAAACTATTAGAATCTGGCAGACTTCAGATACCCAACTATTACATTGTTTAAAGGGTCATACTAAAAGTGTAGAAGTGGTTTGTTTTTCACCCAATTCTGAATTACTGTGTTCAGGATCTTGGGATAGGACAGCTATTATTTGGCAAGTTGAGGTAAGTTAGCAGTAACTTGTACATTGTGTTTCTTTGTTGCATCAATTCAAGCAGGGATTTTTTGCTAAGAAAGCTTAGTTTTGACATTTTTTTGTTACATTTTATAAATATTAACTAGGGCTGGGCGATATTGGTGCAAGTTGATATCAAGATATAAAGCAATATCGGTATATACTGCGATATATCATCGAAAAAACATCTGTTTCAAATATTAAGTTACTTGTTTAAATTGTGTAGATGATCATATCTGGTAAAAATTTGAGGATATATCATGATAATTACCATATATCACAATATGGCCATATTTGGGTATTTTTTAATCAGGTGATATTATTAACAATATAAATTCCTATACCGGTATTTATTGTGATACCAGTTTATCACCCAGCCCTAATATTAACTCAAAGTTTCATAGTCAAATGTTGACAATTAAAGAATTAATTTATTATTGATTAAACTGAAATCAATTTTGTCAACAAAATAAAAACAGTATGTAGATTTTGATCATATTTTTAACATATTTAAATTTATTCTAATTATTATGACCATTTCAACTTTTTACGGTCAAAATTATAGTCTTCAATAAACTTTTGAAATAATATTATATTCCAGTCTGGTCATCCATTTAAAATATTATGTGGTCATGATAATCTAGTTCAATCTGTAGCATTTTCACCTAAAGGTATTTTTGTGGTAAGCATTTTTATCTTATATTATATTTCAGTGTCAATTCAAAAAAAGGTGCCTAAAAAGTGTTTCATTTCAATTTTCATATGTTTATTTGTCTCTCCATTACAAAAGAATATTCAATTATTCCTTTGTATTTTAATTATTGCATACATTTAATTTCTGATTATTTCTGCAGTCTTACAGAGACAGGTGAACTTTTTTTTACCAATCATACCTCAGAAACGGATATTTTTTAGTGTTCACAGATTATTGTTGAAATTTGAACCTTCAAATCCATGTGTGTCAAGAATTATCTGCGTTTGAAAGTTAAAAAGAAGAGTCATCTTTTCTTGGGACACTTCCAAAAGACATCTATAGAAATAAGAAAAGAAATTCCTAGTTTGAGATATTTTTGAAGGAATTATGCTATTTTCCTACATTTCTTATATGTTTGAAGTCTATTCACATATATTCAAGTCTCAAATCAATCCTCCAAAATGACGCATCTTTCCCTTTAAGATTTACTCATTTTACTTCGAACAGTATACTATCAATCTATTATAGGCAACTGGTTCATGGGATTTTACAGTTCGAGTGTGGAGAATTGATGATGAGCACTATAATAAACCAGTCAGTCATTTAGTATTAACAGGGCATAAAGGCAATATTCATTCTGTATCTTTCTCTAAAGATAATGTCTTGGTAAGTATATTCTGCTCCTACACAATTATATGCTTGACTGCTCATCACAATGCAAATTGAAAATATTTATCCTGATTATATCTTGAATCTATCTTGTGCATAGTCACATGCACACTGACCCAACTGAGAGAAGCCTTTGCCATGTCACCCCTAAAAACTTCACTGCATCACTGACAGGGTTATCACATGAATCTGTGCCCACCTCTGAGATCCTCAATTGAAAAGGTGGTGGTCACATGGTAACCATCTCAGTGATGTTCCTCTCATTTTGCTACTGTACTGTGGACCATCTTCATTATCCTAATCAATATCTAGTTACACCCTGTTTCATGATGTATTTGCTCTTTAAGTCTTGTCATAAATCTTCATTAAAGGCATCAGGATCTTGGGATAAAACAGTAAGATTATGGAACATTAAGACTGGTAGCTGTATACATACCTGTAGTGGACATATTGGTTGGGTACAAGCTGTTACCTTCTCACCAGATGGTACCTATGTTGCTAGTGCTGGTGATGATGAAACAGTTAGAGTATGGGATGTTGTAAATGGCAAGTGTGTGAAGACATTGGAGGTAAGAAATTGAATCTTAAACAATAGTGGAATCTCCAAAATTGATTCTGAGTTGACAAACCCAGTTGCATGCAGATTTGCATCAGGTGTTCCAGAAGGTGGCATGCACTATATCATCATTGACACCTGCCACAGTACTAGTCATAGTAAATTGCATATTCAAGTCGTTGGACTTCAATCCAAAAGGTTGAAGAAGGACCTCGGTTAGTACAGTCTTCCATCTACTGGTATAAAATCAAGTGGACTCTCTGGATACCCTGTTGAATCATTGACAAATTAATAGACTTCATTACCCCATGTGTTCTTATATAAGTTGACACAATTTTTTTTTTTTTAAAGAATTTCCACAATTCACTCTTTACAGTGTTCGCAATCAGTCATCTGAAACATTGAACTCTATTTAAAGAGTAATTTCCTCAGATCATGGCTGGTGAGTGCAATTACCACCAGAAAAAGCATGAACCCATACATTAAGTTCTGCAATTAATGAAGACTGATTCTTATGATATAATGTTTTCTTTCTCTAGGGTCAAACAGATCAGGCACATCAATGTGGATTTACACCAGGTGGAGCTCTGGTAGCATCTGGTGCAGCAGTCACTACACTGGCTTTAACATAAACCTTTGGACTAGGCTTTCTCAAAAACTGATATTACTTTTAACAACAGCATGTATTGAACTTTGTATTATATGTTATTCTTGCAAGCAAATTTAATTTAGAGTTAAATGCCATTTTTATTTGCCTACAAGTTGTCATACACCGTATTCTATGCAGGCCCTATGTTTGCCCTATTTTTTGAAAAAGCTTATCCCAAGTTTTTTATTCAATTTGCAAAACAATATCGATATCATGTTTTGTAATAGATGATTTTTCTGCACTGTTACATTGGGTAGTGGTCTGTAGGTTGTTTTGTGTTGTATTTTTTGTTAGTTACCTCCCCTTGACTGCAATTTTTGTTTTTCCAGCAGCAAGCCATTCTTAGGATTTGGCACTTTTCACCCCTTCTAAACTGCAACTATCTGAATATTTCAAAGTTTATAATTTTTTTTGACATTGTTTAATGGAAGTTCATACCACAAATGAATTTTCAAAACATTTTAGCATTGATGAAATGAAAAGGACAAACACATTCTGATTAAGTTCTGTTGAGATAAATATATTTCCTGCAGTTTCAGTAATAATCTCTTATATCATAAAATAAATGCATGTTTGTGTACATGTATATCTTATGATTATTTAAAAATATAGCCTAATATAACCAGGTATATATTCCACTCTTTGTTTTATTATTTGCAAAATTTCTTTAAATGCATTTAGCACTCTTTTATAATGAGACCAATCTCTTATTGTTATTATTTAGCAATTTATGTTAACTGTGATATTTATATTGTTATGTTTATTGTTCTATCTGTTATGTTATAATACATTTTTACCATGTATGTTAGCTAGTAGACACATTATTCTATTTATTTATATAGCACTCTGTATCAGTATTAATAAGTTTATATTATTGTATTATATATACCTAACCAAAGAGTATTATATATTGTGTGCATTTAACCAAATAAAATAGTTATCATTGCAAATAATAACTTCTTATTCTGATGGTTCATATACTCCATATTGGTTTAATGATGACAGGCAATGTCATGAAGTGTACAATAATGTAAAATAGATCTCATATATGCGTATATTTCACTTTGTTTATGATGACAGTAAAGGATCTTTCTCATTTGCTCATCAAATACAAATGTGCCAAGCTCCAAGTCCCCTTTTTAACACTCTTACTAAGAACTTTATGTGCTTTTGGGTTCTTTGTAACATGCCAATTTTTAATACAAAATAAGCTGTTACTGCAAGAGAAATGGGTATTATATCCAAAGATTCAGTTGAGGTTGAATAAAGATTCAATTCAAAGTCACCAGAAGTTGATTCGGGTCTTTAATATATTATTACGTAAATAGTCTTCAGAAGTACTAGACATATCGCGGAATTTTACTTTCTATTTCTTTATGTATTTTCTATATGAGTCAAAAAAGACGAGTCGTCATTTATCTTTCAAACGCGGATAATTCTGGACACACATGGATTTGAAGGCTAAAATTTTGAGCTTTTAATTAAATTGATTCGTAAGAAACAAAAAGATATAGCTGTAGAATTGGTTTTCGACACATCTTAACAACCAACATGCATTCTCATTGAGACTACAGAACATAATTATATATTTTTGACCACATATATTGGTGTTATCTACCTTCAACAGTCTATACTTCGTAGGAGACAGATTTGGAGCTATGTTTGTTATGTTTATATTTAGTGAACTAAGACAAGGACAAAATAGTTAACACTCTTCATACAATTAGTGAAAAATGAGAAAAAAACCATTCAACTCTGAGATGATGATGACCCAAGTAAGTCGATCAAACTAGGCCCCATTCGTATCTACGGCGGCACGACTGACCAGGCCCGTAGCTATAGAGGGCAAAAAACCCCCCAAAAAACTGATTGCCAACCTACCAATATCATCGCTGGAAACGCTTAATTGTCATCATTCTTTTGGGAATTTCATGGAATAATACTCCTGATTGTTTTTTTTTTTAACACAACGTTTCAACAATTTACATTAGCATCATCAGTTGAAAATTAATTGTTGAAACGCTGTGTACAATGAAGTAGTATACCATAAGTTCTGTTTCGTTATTTAACGTGATCATACCTCTTATTTAAAGATCATGAATTGATGGAAACAATATTTTAGATAGTCTCAAGACTCGCTCAGTCAGTTGACAAACGGGGCTCGTAGAGGACATGAATTTGACGTCACTTGAAATGCTATGAAATCTGACTATCTTGAACATTGTAGATGAACTATGTTCTTGAGATCAGCTTTCTTTTCTATCATGATTTAATATTATTAAAGCATATACAAAAAACGCTGTTAATTTGTTTGATTATTTCAGAATTTTCTCTTCGTTCTGTTTACTCATAATTGTGCTTTTTTACAGAGAAATAGTTGGGTTAATTAATATGCAAATTCGTTGACAAAGAAAACGAGCATCGTCAATAACGCGTGAAATAAGTTACACTGTCTTACATTCAACTATCTTCATGTGCAGTTTTGTTTCGTTTCCGCACACGCGACCGGCGAAATTAAATATTTAAATTGAACGGTACATTACGCATCTTATAAGATGCCAGCCGACCTTAAAAGACAGTTGTTATTGCCCCGGGTCAAGACAAGATAGCCGTCTTTAACTTAAAACTCTTAACAAATTACGAGTGGTTAAGCAAATCTCTCGATCCAAGTGAGTTCACCTAGCCTTGATGGCTGGTGGCCGTGAAGAAAAGTTAATATCCGCCGAACATTGACACCCTCGGATGCAATATTCAATTTAACTGCCTAAATTACTGGTAAGAGAGCTCTGAGCTGTTACTGACTTTCCACTCGAGTTCAAGTATATTTGCTCCATCGAGTTCCGAAACAAACACTATACTGCGCCCCGGGGTTGTTTCGTTGTTTATTGAAAATTTACGCCTATGCAAAGAGAAAGTGTTGGCGTGAATAGCATCCTATTGATAGTTTATTATATAGGGATCAGTTACAGTAAGGATCTTATAAATGTTTTTGAACCCACCAATCTATCTATCTATAATATATATATCTATCTATCTATATATCTATCTATCTATCTAGGATCTTATAAATGTTCTTGAACCCATTGAAGGGAACCAAAATGAAGCTGGCTTCATTCATTTTTTTTTTTGAGAAAATTGATCTAGAAAGCTAATAATAAGGCAAAAGCAAATATTATTTAATTTACATAAAAGGTGTACGTGTACATATTCGTTTAGGTTATTTTGTTGATTTTCTTTTTGTGATATTTGCTTGCTTTTACATCCTTTAATCCCACTGTGTATTTTATTTTCAACTTCATTTGATTCATTAAAGACTTTATGCATTTTAGGCTTAAATTCTCTTGATGTTAGTCTTAAATTGGCTCAGGTCGACTCAGATCATTCCACCAGATCTATGACATCACTACAGGGAGCTGTGATCAAGTGGATTGTCAAGATTCCGACTGCTTACGTCGGTAGAAAGAAGAATTAAGCAGATAAAGTCATCTGGCAGCAACTCACTGCTTTTTAAGGCCTCTTCTGTGCTTGATCACATTCTCCCGGAAGCCTAAACCGACAGTTGCTGGGTGGTCACAGGTTGCCACTGCTCAGATCCACGCATAAATGTGTACAGGTCTGGGAAAAAAATCTGGAGATTTGGGTGAAAAGTCGGGAAATTTTTTCAAAGCGCGTAAATTCGAGAATTTTAAGTTCAAAATTGCATTCTTTGTGCTAAGAAAAAGACTTATGCGTTATTAATTATTTCTTATTTGCATGACACAGTAAAAATTAACAAATATAAATACATAACAATAAAAAAAAGTATATACATAAGATAAACATAACAAATATATATACATAAAAGACAATCTCAAATATAAATATAATACTGTCCAAGTTTATTCATCCATTCACATAAATCATTTATTTTTTTCTGGATCCTGAATTAGAAGTTCTTTATTTGGCTTAAAGTTCTCATAATCACTCTCCATATTAAATTGTACACTCATTAAAGATATTACAGAGTGGTGAGCTAAATTCTCCCTACTCTCCCGCTCAATCTTCCTGAGAACAGAAAATGATCTTTCAACACCTGCATTGCTGTTGGGTAGTGACAGAATAGTTAAACATAGTCTGGTTAAATGTGGATATAGATGAACACCAGCAACAGAAATCTTTCCACTCATCTTGGCTCAAAATTGATCTTATTTATCAAGTTCAAAATGTGGAATATCTTCATTGTCTGTCAGGTGAAAATTTACAAATTCCTCTTGTAGCTGATCAACGTTTTGCACAATATTGAATCTCGTATTAATCTTGGCCAAACCAAAAGATTAAAATACACTGAAAACAATAATAAATTTAATGCTCCTGACATACCAGTGTTACTTATAGACTTTTAAGCAAATGAATGGATTTTAATGAATAATAAATAAATGAATTCTTACCATTTTCAAATGAAGAGGCTTCTCTATTTCCAGGGTATACAAATGAAATGCCATTTAGCAATTCATTGTCAAATGGGAATTTGTTTATCATATTCTTTACCATAGCAGCATAAAATTCTCTTATGGAGCTATAAAATATTAAAACATTACAATGTAAAAATAATTCCAAAAATGTCATTCAAAATAAATGTTAACTCAGGCCTATCAAAATGAATATAACAATGATATCCACTTAAAAAGAAAATCAGATGTTACCTGTAAATTCTGTGTAGTGTTGATGAAATGAAATGAAATTAATGGAGTTTTACGTCCTACTTTTCTGCACCATGTGGGCTAATGAAGACGGGCAACGTCATGCAGGGTGCAATGAGGGAAATTTTGCCAGGACAGTGACATTAGTCTGCTATTTTACGATTTCCAACTGTCGAGGGATCTTTAACGTGCACAGCCTGTAGCACACGGGGCCTCGGTTTATTGTCCCATCCAAACGACTAGACGCTTTTCCCATGTCAGCCCCTCGTACCTGCATCACTGACAGGGGGAAACCGGGTTGAAAAATCCGAAGGTATTATCTCGACCTATGCCGGGATTGAACCCTCGACCTTCAGGCTAGCGAGCAACCGTCTAACTCACTGAGCCACAGCGACTCCCTGTGTAGTGTTGATGGTTCTAGATTATCTTGATTATCAGCTAAAACAGTTCTGACCTTCATTCCTATAGCTAAAAAATCCACTGGCAGGTAATTATCTTTATTGGTA